GAGAGAGAGAGAGAGAGAGAGAGAGAGAGAGAGAGAGAGAGAGAAAGATTCATTTTTTACAAAGGCCGGGAACAGAGACTAGGTGAGCAACAAGAACCTTATTCTGATAATTCCCCCCACCCAATATCAGAAACATAAATCACAGTCCAATATTGTTGCGGATTTTCCATTAACTTCGCCTTCATTTTTTATACCTCTGAGAAGGAAAGCTGAAATTAAAAATTCTTTTTCTTTTTAAATCGGAAACAGTCTTGAGTTTACAAAGTTCAATAATACTACGTATTATCAATAACGTATCAATGCAGTCCTTCCCCGAAAACTCTCATCCTCCTACGTTTTAGCCCTACCCTAAACAACCACGACTTGAAAAAAAGATATATTATCCTGTTGTTGTTGTTTTTTTGAGAATGGTAAAAAAAATCGTCAACGAAACGGACAAAAATACATACGCTGTCATCTGAGTTGCTGTTCTGACCAGGAGGTCAACTATTTTACCTCCAAAAACGTCGTAAAGACAACCCACTTGTGATGTCCACACCCATTTACTTACCGAAAAAAACAACAAAACCAAGAAAAAACACGGAAGCGTTTCCTGATAGCTACTTATGCATTTCTTCGACGAAGATTGGTCGCGACACACCTATCTTCCATATTTGGGCAATGATTTTATGTCTTCAAGATTGGATGTCCTTTAGGCTGTTATTTTTATCACATCTGAGTAGGAGACACGTTAAGTACCCACTTGACAGGCAATTTGAAAGTGGGGGCAAGAGATTTGTATATAAGTGTAGATGTGCGCTTACAGAAGTATAATCTTCTTCAGCAAGACCATTCACTCACTTCGAGCAAGTAAAAGTGAACGTTGATTAAAACTTTGCCATACAGAACACTAGTTTGTATAGAAAATATTTTTCTTTCAGACGTGCAGGCATACGTTTTGGTGTAAACATTTTCAGTGACAAAAGTTAAAATGTTCCAGCTGTTTTGCACCTTTCTTTTCCTTCATATGGCGATCACGCACGGCGGTGTAGTCAAACAGGAGACAGTCACTGTATGCAAACAACGTCCTATTGAGCTGGGAATCGTTCTCGATTCATCCAGTTCTATCAGCTACAAAGACTTCCAGAAGAGCATCGATTTTCTCCAGGACTTTGTCAGCCAGTACGATATCGGAGACGGCCGCAATGACGTGAGAGTGTCCCTCATCACCTTCGGCAAAGGTATCTACCGACAAGATGCCTTCGACCTGACCTCTTACAGCACCAAAGACGCCTTGATGGAAGCTATCGCTCAAGTCCCACACAGGGTCGGCCTCTACACCTCCACAGGGGAGGCTATTGAGTACATGAGCCAAACACAGTTGTCCATGGACGTGAGCAGACCTTGGGCCAAACGTATCAGTATCGTCATCACAGACGGCAACTCACAGCTTTGGCGCCAAACCAGAGACGCTTCCCAGGCCGCACGTGACAGCGGTATCGATATATACGCTGTTGGTGTGGGACGCGTGCGTCGCGAGGAGTTGCTGAGAATCGCCGGAGACGAGAAGAACGT